CTCTTCTGTTCATAAGTTCCTTTCTGTTTTCACCAGACCTGACATTCAGCAGATTATATCACCTCCTGCCCAGTCCTCTCCCATCTATCGAGTGTGTCAAGATCAGCCATGAATGAGACGTTCACCCAAGTCCAAATGAAAATAACTAATATCCAAAAATCCACTTTTGTTTTCTAAAACACACCTGCACAAATGGAGTGGTGATTTTGTAAGGGAATTAATTTAGGAACGCAAGCTACAGATGAGAAGAGCCATTCAGTCTGCCTCTCGTTAGCTCATTAGTAGTTAAGCTGTTTTTTTTTTTAAAAGACGCCAGGGCGTCGTCTTGTTCCACACTCCCGCAGCTCTGTGGATAAAGACGTGGTTCCCTTCCTGCGTTTTAAATTTCAAAGTTGATGTTCAGTGTTGCCGCGACAATGGCGCAGAATGCATTTAACTTCTGTTTTTCCAGTTGGTCTCCTGACTGCTGTGTGCTAGTTCTCCCGGGCTGGTGTGGCCGTGGATGTCCAAGGAGGAGGAGAGATTTTTTATGGAGATGGCTGTCTGAAAGTGAAGAGCATCAAAGGTTTTCCTGGGTCCTTAGAAATGTCACTGAACAGTCTATGCTATAAATTCAGACAGGCTAACGGCGTATTACACTTAAAACATTTTTAGACCTATTGTTCTGAGCGTTTGTCTGCTTTCGTTCCAGATCCTCTCTCGCTGCTCGGTCGCTGTCAGTCTCTACCTATATAAGCGAACCCCTATTTTTAACTCCGCTTCAGGACCGTGCTAGTGGCGTTTCAGGCGGCTGATTCGACCTGGAGAACAGCAGTGGGTGCACTTGCGGCACGTATCCACAAGGGGGAGACTAAACTCTTTTTCAAAAATGTGATATTGGGGGAATGGATGAGTCGTGAATCGCGGAGTACAGGGAAACCCCAATCTCTGTAATAGGGCGGTTTCACATTCGTTAATCGGGTGTTGCTTGAAGGAAAAGCGGCGTTTTGACGATGCTTTGATCGGCGCCTCTATGACCGAGCCAGCTCGCTTCCCCGTTCAGCGTGTTCTGAGCTGAAGAAAAACGCCTTTTATATCGTGAGTGGAACTGTTGCTGTGTAAATAATGTGAAGACCAAAATGTACAAAGTTAACGTTACAGAGAACGGAGCTCGTCAGTTCCAGTGTTAAAACTGATTTTATACAGTTAAATTATTTTATATAGGCCGTCGATTCCTATTCTTCCAGTTATTATTGGTGTTTTTTTGTAACCCGTGTTGTCAAGTGTTTTGTTTTAAAACGGTGCGATACTTCAGAAAGTGGGTCACAGGTAAAGCATTCTAGTACAGTGTGTGTGTGTCCAGATGGCAGGATATTGTATGTCTGATTTCACTGTCTGTCTTCACGTTGAAAACATCTTTCATTTAAAAAAAAAAACTTTAGACCTTGCGAGAACGCTAGAGTACTAGAGGGGATTATGACCCACCACTTTTTTTAAAAAAAAAGTTTTGTATTTGTCATATTTTTTTTCTTTTACGTTCACAAAAAAAAATAAAATGCTTATCTGCTCCAGTTGTCACCTGGTGATCTGTCTGTATTGTACCGGAAACGGGACTAGTTTGATTTCTAGGTGGGGCGTCACACTGGTGGTGGTGGAGGGGATCCCCATTACCTGTAAAGCGCTTTGAGTGGAGTGTCCAGAAAAACGCTATATAAGTGTAAGTAATTATTATTATTACATAATGTCCTTTCTACGCTTTGTACATACGTCATTGCCTGACCGGAAGGGGACGCTTACGACGGATGTGACGTCTTGGCAGCGAGACGGCAACCAAACGAAGCGTTACGTGCAGAGACCTCATTCGTCATGTCTGCCTTGAAACTCACCACAGGACTTCGGGCTGTTTCTGTTCGTTGCCCCGGAATTTTATTTTAAAACTGGAGCTTGAGTGGCATCGTTGCAGAAGATGCGGTTGGGTTTGGAACAGGTCGCGACCCCTCGTGTGTGCGCGCGTTCCCGCCCGTGGGTTCTCGCCCGCGCGGCTGCAGGGGCGGCGAGGGCAGCTCGGGCCATATATGGCAGGAGCGGCCGGCTTGTGGAGATGACGTCAGCCCCTACGGCTGGATCGCTTCTGTCTGCAGCGTCCCAGCCGTCCCAGCAGCTGCAGGGACAGCCCCTCCCCCCCAGAAAGCACGCATTCTTGAGGGTTGGGTTTTCTGCCTCACCTGCTTCCTACACCTCCCGACAGTCAGGGGTGCCCCTGGCAGAAAGGGGATCATGGGGCGCGCCTGCCCGGGGGGTCCCCACAAGCACCTATAACATCATCCCCAGACGGGCTGGGGGGAGGGGGCGAAGGGCAACTACTCTCTAAACGGGACCCGTCCTGCAGCGATGGTCTTGTCCGGTGTCCTGGTCCACTTCGGCCCGCAGGGCTAACAGATAACACTGAGTCACACATCCCTCAGGACCTTTTAATAACAGTTCTCCCCGACCTGGTCATACACTTCTTTTTATCAAAAACACAGTTAATCCGAAGCATGTTCAGCGGGATGACACTTCTGTTAGGCTCCTGAAACTCGGGGGGCACTATTCTTCTGTGACACAGGGGGAAACACAGCTGGTGAAAAACACTACAGAGCAGAAGACAGATGCCTGGAAATGCAGGGAGAGAAGTCCAGAGAGCTGTGAGCCGGGCTGCAGCTGACGCACGCAGAAGCTCTTTAACAGTGAGCAGGAGCCCAGCTGAGCGGAGTGAGGCTGAAGCACAGGAGGGACTGAGGGGAGAGAGGAGGAAGGGAGAGAGAAAGAGGGGATGGAGAGGAGGAAGGGACAGGGTTAGAGATGAGAGGTGAGTGGTGGAGAGGAGGAAGAGGGTGGAGAGAGGGATGGAGAGGAGGAAGGGAGAGAGTTAGAGATGAGACGGAGAGAGAGGAGAGAGAGACTGGTGGAGAGGGGGTGGAGAGAGGAGAGAGAGAAGAGAGGGGTGGCAGTGAAGGAAGTTCTTGAGCTGGCCCTGAGCCACACTCCTCTCGTCTCGTCCTGGTTTCTGCAACACGCAGAGTCCTGCTGCCATGACCACTCTGCGATGAGCGCTGAGCGCTGGGCACTGGCCACCCCCCTTCCCTGGCCAGTACCGCCCACTGACCGTCGCCCCCTCCCCCCCGCGCCGCGCCGCGCGTCCACCCTGGCTCTTCTTCCAGCTCCCTGTCCCCCGGCCCGCCTCTCTTCCCCGCGGAGACATCCGGGAGCGAGGGCGCGGATCAGGCCTCATCCTCGGGTCCTGCAGGGCAGAGAGGAGACGGCCTCAGGCTCTGAGCAGGAGCACGCAGCAGGGCCCCCTGGCGATCTGAACCCCGACTTTCCAGGGACGTGTCCCCAGCCCTGTCCCACTAGCCAGAGCTGAGACACAACCTCAGCCCGCATGCTCCAGCGCAGGAATCCCATGAGCCCCAGTTAGATCACTTTATTGGCCATATACAATTTCTTGCATTAGGAATTTGTCTTTTCACAGACCCCAGCTTGCTCTCCAGGAGACACACAGACAGGGAGAGAAGCTGGGGGGTCAGAGCGCAGGGTCAGCCATTTATACGGCGCCCCTGGAGCAGTTGGGGTGAAGGGCCTTGCTCGGGGGCCCAACGGAGTAGGATTCCTCTGCCGGCCGTGGGATACGAACCGGCAACCTCCCAGCCACAGGCGCAGACCCTTGGCCACAGAGCCAGTTTTATGCTGAATTCCATAACTTGGGGGGCTCAGCAGGCGCCAGCAGGAGCGGGGAGCCCCCCGAGCCGCGTCCGTGCGCGTCGGTCTTACCGGTGGAGGCCGCAGTGTGCTGCCGCGACGCCCTCAGGGACAGGAAGCTGAGATAGGAGTCGTAGGAGTACAGGATCCCTGCTACCAGTCCGAAAACCTGGAGCGCAGCGAGGGAGAGGGAGACAGATACCTTACTGAGCCCGGGAGGGAAACCGCAGAGCAACAGCAGCTCAGCACAGTGTAAGGAAATGATACAATAAGACAACAATACAATACAGTCAGTACAGTCAGAGAGAAGTGCAGTGAAAGTAAAACATGCTTTATACAGAGTTGCTCACAGCACCAAATATACAAAAACAGACCTGAAAGTACAATACACAAAAAGATGTATTGCACATTATAAATATATTGCACAAAAAAACAGTTGTAAACAGGAAAAAACCAGATGTAAGCAGAGTTTTATGTTAAGTTAAAAAACAGGTCAATGTTGCCCCTGCCCAGACACACAGTGGATGTGTTGTACAGTCTTAGGGCAGAAGGCAAGAATGACCTTCTGTAGCGACCCCCCGTCGCACCTGTTGCCCAGAGGGAGACTGGAATGAGCTGCAGCTGGTGGTCGTTAGAATGTTAAAACCATAGAACAGCACCCGGCACATGAATGCAGAGCTTAGTGTTAAGAGTCGCTTGGCTTTCCAGACGCTTCTTGAACAGCTACAGAGCGCGGTTTTCTCAAGGAAGCGTGGAGTCAGTCCATCCATCCGTTATCTATCTGCTTCTCCCAGAACAGAGTCGCAGGGGAGCCGGAGTCTATCCCAGCAAGCAATGGGCGCAAGGCAGGGTACACCCTGACCAGGACGCCAGTCCATCACGCACAGAAACAAACACACACACACACCAGCGCCAGTTTTCCCAGAACCCACCAGCATGTCTTTGGACTGTGGGAGGAAGCTCACACGAACACGGGGAGAACGTGCAAACTCCTCACAGACAGCACCCTAGAGATTGAACCCGGGGCCCCAGCACTGTGAGGCAGCAGTGCTGATCACTGCGCCACCGTGCCGCCCAGGAAACAGGGAGTCTCGGGAGGGAAATGCCGGGGAACTCACCCCCCCCGCGGTGCGGGCGCCGTCTCCTGTGCTAATGACGCAGATCAGCGACGTGATGAGGTACAGCGCCGCGCCGATGACGGCCCGGAAGAAATCCTGTTGGCGGAAAGGAAGCGACAACGTGAGGGCACAGCATGAGCGTGAGTGTGTAGGAGCAGGCTTGTACTAGTGTGAGTGTGTATGAGCAGGCTTGTACTAGTGTGAGTGTGAGCTTGTGTGCGTGAGTGTGTAAGAGCATGCTTGTGCGAGTGTGAGTGTGAGACGGTGTGTGTAGGAGCAGGCTTGTACTAATGCGAGTGTGAGCTTGTGTGTGTGTGAGTGTGTATGAGCAGGCTTGTACTAGTGTGAGTGTGCGCTTGTGTGCGTGAGTGTGTAGGAGCAGGCTTGTACTAATGCGAGTGTGAGCTTGTGTGCGTGAGTGTGTAGGAGCAGGCTTGTACTAATGCAAGTGTGAGCTTGTGTGTGTGTGTGTATGAGCAGGCTTGTAATAGTGTGAATGTGAGCTTGTGTGTGTGAGTGTGTAAGAGCATGCTTGTGTAAGTGTGTGAGCAGGTGTAAGTGTGTAGGAGCAGGCTTGTACTAGTGTGAGTGTGAGCTTGTGTGTGTCAGTGTGTATGAGCAGGCTTGTACTAGTGTTAATGTGAGCTTGTGTGTGTGAGTCTGTATCAGCAGGCTTGTGCGAGTGTGAGCTTGTGTGTGTAAGTGCGTATGAGCATGCTTGTGCGAGTGTGAGTGTATGAACAGGCTTGTGTGAGTGTGAGCATGCTTGTACGAGTGTGTGACTGTGTATTAGCATGCTTGTACAAGTATGCATGTTTTTGTGTTTGTGTGTATGAGTGCTTGACCGAGCATGCATTTGTGTTGTCTGAGTGTGTGTGTGAGTATCCTTGTACGAGTATGCATGTGTGTTTGTGTCCATGTGTGTGTGTACAGTATGTGTGTGTATTACACTATGTGTCTCCCAGTCTTTCACTGCTGCCCATGTGTCTGTACACAAAATGAGGATGACATCTGAGAAAATGTCCAAAGACTGTAACACCTGACAAACCAACAATGAGGATGTGCTTTCACCTCATGTTGGAATCCTGGTAGATCAAAGCCTAATGGTGGACACGTGTGCGTGTGTGTGTGTCACTCACGGTCCAGGGCCAGTGCAGGACTGTGAACTGCTTGTCCAGGTCCATCATGAAGATGACGAAGAAGATGATGGCGAAGACCATCTCGCAGATGGCCACGGCGGTGTAGCCCCCGTACCTGGAGGCTGCGTAGCAGATCAGGATGATCAAGCCGAGGAACTGTTGGGACACAAAACAGCTGTCAGCTCCCTCAGGTGTCTGCTGGGTCCGACTACCCCAGTACACTACAGCTGATGAAAATAAATATATAACTACTGAATGATAATAATAAACTTCATTTTATATGGCACCTTTAAAGGCAGCTTCTCACAAACACTTTACAGAACGACAACAACAACAACAATAAAAGAATACACAATGAGAGGAGACAGTAGATGGGGGTACTGGATACAGCAGGAGCAGAGGGGTGAAGAACAGAACCAGTCAAGGAAAGGATCTTCTATAGAAGAAGGTTTTGAGTCTGGATTTGATGGGAGTTTAGATCCTTGAGGAGCTGACAGATCCTTGCTCTGACAGAATGCTGAGTTTAGATCCTTGGGGATCTGATAGAATGTTTACACCTGTGACACTGACTGCGCCTGGGCAGCTGGGACAGGCTGTTCCTTCAGTCCAGTGTGAGCCAGAAGAGCAGTGAGTCAGACAGACGTTCGTTTCGTTTGCCCTTATAAGAGCACGTCTGCGTTTTTTTTAAACGTGCTCTCTGGACACGCAATCTGGCAAAGCCATCACTCTTGATAAGGGAGGGCAATTTCCTGCTTGCATTTCTGGTGCGGCAGAGCACCTCCCTAGAGAGGCAGGAAGGCTCTGGGATTTAGGTCACGATTCCGTGCCTTTCTGTTCTGGATACATTCCCACTACACGTATACGGTGATTAAGTCGGGGGAAAGCTATAGGACATGTCTGTCCCATCCACATCCTGGGACAGCTCTGTATTTGCATATTTTTTGCTCCCACTCATTTCTTAACCAGAGCATCCTGCAGTAGTCTACATGAACACAAGAAGAACATGCAGGCTCCACACAGACAGCCAGGCTCCATTTGTGAGGGGCTTGTGAAGCCGCTCGCCATCTAACGGCAGTGTTTTTGGACAGGGCTTATGAGCACACCACACGTGCTCATCACACGTGCTGACAGGCCCGGACAGGCGTATTTATCAGAGGAGAGGAGCGCTGATTTCATTATGGATGAACCTGTTCAGCCCCGAGCAGTGTGCCCAATTCTCTTTATTTGTTCTAACCCAAATTAAAGTCAGACTTACATGCACGAATGCTCACTGCAGGTTTGGAAACCAGCCCTTCCTGATTTTTCTCATGAGCTCTGACGCCTATACCGTGATGCTGTGCAGCACCACACACTAGCACAGACCCTTCAGAGACGCTAACGTGGACGCTTCTAAAATTACCCAGCATCCCCCCCACACAGTGCTCGGGCAGCAGCCTCAAAGGTGGCCAAGCAACTTCCAGTGCAGCTGGACGGACTCTGAAGAAGACAGAATCTGAAACGTTGCCGGGGACCGCTTTCAGCTTTCTGCCCCACGGACCCTCCCCTCACACACACACACACAGTCCTGCGATCATCACTTGTGCACCAGCCTGGGGAGGGCACAGTTGAAGAGAGGAGCAGGACTGAGTTTCTAAGTAAGTTATTAGGTTCTGTAAGGTTAGATCCTAATCTGACCTCCTTCCTCTTTCCTGTGTATGAATATATATCTCGCCTTGTGGACTTCCCTCTGCTCGTTTCTCTCGCATTCTCTCATCCGCCCCCCCAGCTACTTATGTGCAACAGCTTCCTGGCTCATTCCTCAGGAAAGTTTGTGTCTGTGTGTGTGTGGGGGGGGTTTGCACCACTCTCAGTTAACGCTAAACAACCCCTAACACATTCGTCCCTCTGTCGCATTCATAGGGATCGAACCCAACCACAGAAAGAGACACCTCTTGGCCCTGCAGGTTTCTGTAAGCTCTGAACACCAATTTTTCCCATCCGTCTGTCGGCCGGGAAGGAGAGGCCCTGGGTGAGACTGCGGCGCGGTCTGGCCTGCACCACGTGACGCGCAGCGGTCGCGCGGCCATGTTATCGCCAGCGTGATCTCACAGCAGCGGTGTGCAGGGCGCCCCGACATCGATACACACCCAGAGCCGCGCACCCGGACGACAATCGGTGCTGTGCAAGCCGCGGGCAGGTGTCAGCCCCAGCAGTCACCTACAGAACCTCAGACCACAAACCTCATGCCACAAGGCTGAGGCTGAGCTCCGACGGAGGACTGTGCTTGCAACGTGCAGCACAACAGGCCCCTGCTGGCGCCCGGTCAAATCTGCAGCCTGACAGCTTGCTCTACAGCTGTGTTCGGAAAGTCGGCGTCAGTGTACAAGCACTTAACATAAATCACGCTGCGCTGGCAGAACGGAGGAGACTCCAGGAGCCCAGCTGTCTCACACGCTTCGGGCTTTGTTGAGCTCCCAGCTCTTATCCACACTGTCCTCCAGAAGTGAAAGGGAAACTGCATTTCTGTGACCTCTCATGCATTTCCCTCCAGATAAAGTAACAGGTGTGAAGTCCCCACAATCTGAGGCAGCTCAGAACTGCTGTGCAAGCCGCACACTCTCTGGACCGGGAGAGGAGGCAGAGGGACAGCAACCGAAAACCAGACTCTACCTCCCTGCAAGGTACACCAGCGCCGGTGGGTTCAGGGCTGGGGACGGCAAGGGCAGCGCTGACCCCGCCCTGTGTGTGGCTGTCCTCAGTCTGTCTGCAGACGCCGGGGGCTGTCGGGATCGGGTGAGGAAACATCTCGTCAGCGAGGTGTGAGTCCGGCTCCAGCGTGCAGCGGCCGAGCGGAGGTGGGGGGGGGTCACTGCTCCGGCCCGGTCGGGCTGCGGCGCCGGTACAAGGGCTCATTATTCCACAGAAAGAGAGACTGGCACAGGCAGGCTCTGTACACAAGCCCCACAATGAAGCGCTGTTCAGGTCCGGCGCCTCGGAGCGTGGGGAGAGTTTGGGAAAAAGCCCAACTCTGTTTTAACCCTCTGTGACCTCGATCTGCCAGCGGGCGCCGAGAGGACATCGCGAGTCTCCAACACCGGCCAGCGGCCACCTCCACTGACCACTCCCTTCGCTCCTGGCTATTCCTGCAAATGCTGCAGGGCTTGGACGGAGATGAGGGAATTTTTATGAATTCCTGGCTGCCAGGCATCCTCCAGGATCCGAATATTCCTACAATCCTCCTTCCTGTGGGAGCTCTGCTAGATGCCAGCCGGACCCTAAGACCTTCCAGGAACTCCTGGGCAGAACCACGGCGTGATTTTTCTTTTCAGTGCACAAGTGGAGCCCGTAATTCAATTAGATTAATTATTATAACGCTTATCGTGAGGTTCAGCGCTCATTAGCGCGATTGCCACTAATTATCTTCACCCACAAACGGCTCAGGGCAGCAGGAGGCCAGGATGACCTCCGCTTCCCGGACCCGGAGTCATGGAGGCGATCCTTATTCCCCGGAAACCAGGGGTCTCAGTCGCAATTCCCGCAGGGCCAGTGTCTTTGGGTCTTCTTCTGCCAACATTCTGAATACTCAGCTGGACTAATTACTTTACTAATTACTTATTACTTAATTATCTGCAAAAGTGTAATACTTCTAACCAGGCTCCGAGGCGAAAACACTATACTAATCTAATTTAGCAAATACTGAGGTTAATTGTTTAATTGACTTCTCAAGGTGGAACAGGACCTGAGTTTGCAGGCCTGTGGCTCTGTGACAGAGGATCACATCCTTCAACAGGCAGTCAGGGAGCCCCTATCTCCCGGGAACAAGGAGAGCTCTCTTTCTATTTCGAGGAGAGCTGCAGAGGTCAGGCACGGGGGCAGGGCAGAGGAGTTTTAGTACAAGCTGTTGAGGAGCAGAGAAGGCTCACTCTACCATCCACAAAAACAGAATTAAAAACAAAAACAAAAACGGATACACAAGATCTTTCCACGGGACTGGCACTGAGCTCTGTGTTTAACTACAAAACATTGCCCCCGCCAGCACAGCCACTGGAGAGACTAGAGACGAGGGCATTCAGCCAGATCCGGCTGCCTGTCGGTGAGTCACCTGCGAGCACAGGGCTACAGCACGCAACAGGGACGTGTGTGTCCCGTCACCCGCCCACTTCTTAAAGGGGACCTGCAACACTAGTTTTATAGCTCACTGTTAGAAAGAGCCGGCCTTGATGAGTGCCTTTCCAACCACAATGGAAGTGAAATGTACACAGTAGCTTGTAAATCCTCCAATTTACATCGCAAGTTGCCATATTCTGAGAATGAGAACGAGACTTCCGGTGATGCGTTATGGCCCTGTGACATTGCAATCAAGCAGGCTGGTGAACACACCTCTTTTAATCCAACAGAAATATTGCTTTTGGTTTCATGGTGGTTTTGCTAACTCTGCATGCTGAACGTCTCTGCGGTGAAATGTCTGCTGCACAACCTGCCCTTACTCGCTCGTCCCTCACATCACATCTGACATGACATTACAGAGAGGTCACGACCCCCGCGCCCCACGAGCGACCCCCTGCCTTCCCCTTTCGGAGCCTGAGGACAGCCCTGGTCCGAGCCAGGCCGGGCAGTTCCAGAATGGGCTGGAAGAAGAGCTCCCAGTTCCACCCGGCACCTGGGCTGGGAATGTGAAGCATTCACCCAGCCGAGGTCACGAACCTTGACCCCACCGGCTCTGGATTCCAGGCTGGCGCGGGAGAAACGTGCCAAGCAGCCCCGGATAGCTGTATATCCCGATCGCACCTCTGGGACTTCCCTCTCAAAACACTTCAGGCGGCTCAGGCGGACGGGACCGAGCAAAACAATGGAAAGAACTGCTGACACTACAGAACCCGAGTGGTTTCCATGTCTTTCATGATGAGCGCAAGGCAGGCGGCACAGGGGCGTGTCACCCAGCAGGGGGTGACGCCTCGGAGCCCCCGGGTTCCCCTCCGTGCCGGGGTACCTTCTGCGCGGAGCTTGCGTGTTCCCCCACAGGTGCCGTTTGCCCGTGCCTTACATCCCGCGCTCTCGCGAATCCTGAAACGCTCCTGCGAAGGGGGGCCGTGAGGCCAGTTTCTTTCATTCCCTGTCGGAGTGCAGTTCCTGACGGACACTCTGGGGCTTCTACTGCTCTCTGAATATCGGGATCTATGAATACACACCTAGAAGGCCCCCCTGCTCCGACGGCGGTCTGGGGGGCACCCGTGCGAGTCCAGTCTGCGATCGCTGGGGAGCGTATGTATACATGACGTGCAATTCCCTGTATGGCCTGGAATGTCCTCTTCTAAAATAGTTTCTCAACACTTCAGGGATTCGCAGAGGTCTAAATATACAGGCGGCGAGTCAAACGGCCTCGTGGGAGATGTGCTTTTCCACAGGCGGAGCGCGGCGGCCGCAGGGAAGGAGGCACTTGTCCCGGGTTTTCCACTGCTCGTCTGCCTCCTCCCGTTCCCGGTGCGGCTGGTTTTAAACGGAGCCGCCGCCGGCCCGGCAGGGAGGGGAAACTCTGCGCCGCCGATCCCTGCTGGGAAAGCCCTTCCTGTGGGCGGAGCCAGCCGCCACTTCCTCCCCACCCCGGAAGCGAGGCTGACGTCCCTCTGCAGGGACAAGGGAGCTGGAAGGGACTGTGGGAACTGTACAGGGACTAAGGAGGAAAAACCGTGTTCCTTTGGGCTCCTGCAAAAGACTGGGAGGATCGCAGTTTCAGAGCTGGCACAGGGAGAGAGGCACAGACAACAGCAAGGGGTAGGGTTTCACTGTGCAGACGCAGCCCCAGCGTCCCCTTGCTCTGACTGATAAAGCACAATGACCCTGCAGGAGAAGGCTCTGACAGTGTCGTACTGTAGAGAT